TCTCGATTATTGAAATTTGATCCAACGATTACAATAATTATAACTTTTAAAATATCCCCTGTTTATAGCCGTTAGATTAAATTTCAATGGTCCAGATGACCCAGTCAGAGGATCCCCACCCTATGCTCAAGAGGGGATCCGATTTCGTATTGTATGGACCTGATTAGAGAAATGCTAAGATCATTTATAAAAGATATGTCAAAAATGCCACATAGACATAAAACTCGTTTGAATGTGTTTTTAAAATGACTAAAAGTGTTTTTGGTGAAAATGTTTTTAGAACAAATCTTTAGTAAAAACACTTAAAGTGCTTCCTGGAAGAAGCACATAACTGGTGCTTCTTGCAGAAAGCACTTTAAGTGCTTTTGGAACCTAAAACAATTTTCTCTAAAAACACTTTCAGTCATTTTACAAGCACATCCAAACGAGCTCATATAATGATAACAAATTATGTACTATTTACTCCAACCAAGATGTCAATGATGACATGGCTAAGATGACATGGACGATGTTAAATTTGAAGCTGCCTTCAAATTTTATTTTTGTTATTTCTAAAGGCATTCCAATTGTCTTACCTTAAATGTTAGTACATTTAAGTATTATTTTATTATTTTTAAACCAATAACAACCCAACTTTAATTATTTTTGTTTAAAAAAACATAAATAAAAAAAATAAACTTTTGGCATACCAAGTGGAAAGAAAATATTGGCAATATGTTAAATTACGAAGTCAGTCATCAAATTTATATTTGATGTTTTAAATTTGACATCTTCTTTGGAGATGCTCTAAAGAGGGTCTTTTAAAAGTGGTACTCTCTATGAATTTTTTGTCGTCTTATGTTTTTGACACAATGTTTTTATAATGTTGACACGAAAATTGTTGTTAAATTATGAGGTGCCAAAGAGTTCATAAAGAGTCATACTTTAAAAGAGTTTCACTAGCATTTCTCATCCAATTATCATTAACCCCCAAACATTTAGACATAGAAGGTGATGATTTGTTATTGTAATTATTTCATATCAGTAGCATTGCAACATGTATAATCATAAGTCTAAACGCCATATTATAGGATATCAACATCTTGAAGAAGAGGTTCAGTTATTTTTCGAAGGTAACATGGTGGCTCATGAATTGGTTAAACATGGACTCTACAATGGAGGTTTTAATATATGGATGGAGGGGGAACCACTTTGGCTATCCCCCTTCCTTTAGTTTGATAATGACAACTTATTGTAAGTGGTGAGCAAGTTGGTGAAGCATTACTTTTCCCTCTTCTTTGTAGGATTTTAATGAGGCTTCCCTTGCTCCCCCAAAATTCTTGTACTCTGTTTGTTTAACAGTACTGGAAATATCAGTTATGATAAAAATAAAAAAAATAAAAAGGCCATAACGTGGAATTGTTGTACGTGTCGGTAACAAAATGCTACATGAATATGTAACATTACAAATTCCCCATAGGATGATATATTCACATTATCAGATTTAGGGTTTGTATGTATGACTGCAACATAATCGTATAGTTTGAATGAATTTGTAATGTATTCACATTTTGGGTTTAAGGTTTGTATATCAATGATTGCAATATACATAACTATAATTCAACTGAATTTGTTACACTACATTAACATGTCATCTTTTTCTCGTCACGAGATGTTATTGTCTCACACAAATATTCATCGTAATTAATGGACCCTTGAATTGATGAAAAAATATTAGCCTTGTGCAACCCCCGGTTCAACATAACATATGCATCATGCCATTGCCAAAGTTTGTCTCAACACCTAGTCTAAAACCATCAACAAGAAAACCTCGCTGTTGAAAATGAATCTTACATTGATGAGAGGATGAATCTTGCATATGCTTATAAGCAAGTTGAATTACTCTCCGTATTGCCAATTGGTTTTATGGTGGAAATCCAACATCTTTACTCACTCAAACAACACTACTTAGTGCTACAATTTATGGAACCAAAAAACATTGCCAAGCTTACAATGCTCCTACAAACTAGGTACTTTTCCTAAGAAATCTTACCTCTTATGTGTTAAGTGACATCAGATGGTAATGTTCTAGGTTAGTTTTCTTTAGCTATTATTGAAGAGTTCTATAAAAGTTGTTATTTTTTAGAAGAGTTTTAAATACATGTTACTTTAGCCGTTTGATAAAAGAGAACTTTAACGAAAAGCTCTCAGTATTGTTCACTTTAACGAAAAACCATATTTTTACATTAAAAAGTCAATTATGGTACTATTCACTTTACCCTTTATTTTGTCCTTATCGTTAAAACTCAAAGTTTTCAAGCATTTTTCATTAATTTTCCTTTGATAAAAACTTACTTAAAACTACATGGGTAAATGTCAAAATGATCTAGGCCGTCGAAATTTGATCAAACAGCTACAAATAGGGGCCCTCTAAAGTATAATAATTGTTGCCGTTGAATCAAATTTGAACGGCCATGATCAGTAGATCCGTGGGCTCAGATCCTTTGGATCCAGAGAGGATCCAAATCCTTATTAACCAGATCCAAATCCTTATTAACCAAATACAATGCACAACATCATTTTCGTTTTATATTTAGAAAATTGTTGATATTATGCTAAAATCCAACAAGTATTACTCAAAAATAGACTTGAAAAAAAATTGTTACTTGTTGTAAAACTAACCATTTGGGAGAAGGTAGAGGAAGGGCCGGCTAGAGAAGAAAGAAGATAGAGAAGAACTTGAGGAATTATGTGTCTAATTACTCATGTTTAGTGTCTTTATTTATACTAATCATGATGAGTTTGTTGCTTACAAGTAATACAAGTTGTACATGGAAATGATCTTCTAGATCCTATTGATTTCCTATTTCTAGCTACGCAATCACACTAGTTTTTAATCGGATTCGTTCAATTTCTCAATCTTCAATTGAAGATCATCTTTAGAAAAATCTTGGAGATTGTTCGGTCTTTTAAATGTATCAAATAAATAAACTATCATCATAAATATGTTATTTAGTACTGATATTGTAGATTTATTTCATACATTTGGTGCATAAATAATTTCTGATTCTAATGATTTTTCCTAGAGGTGAATAAGAAATTGAGGGAATTCCATTGTTATATTTATACGACAAAGACATGTTATTCCCGGTATATGAGATATGTGCATTCTTCCATGAAGGATACAAGTATTTTCCTTACTATAACGTAGTAAAATTCATAAAAGGCTTTTTAGTCAAAATGGTACATGAGATTAACATAACTTCTTGCTTTGGTTCATAAGATTTGAAATCGAGCGGTCATTGAGTTTGTTCACCATCAACCATTTTGGTTATTCGATGAAAAATTTCTGTTAAAGAAGGACTAAAATAACAAAATTACTCTCAATATAATAAATAATGGGTCAAAATGATTTGACAAACTTGAAGGTATTTTTGGAAAATGATTTGGACCTTCATGTTTTTTTTTCTTCATAAATAGTTGTTTATTTTGTCATTTGGGTCGAACCAAATAAACAACAATAAACGACAGTTTGACGAAGGCCGCTGAGAAAGCGGTGGAAAAGCCAACGACTTGAATCATTGAATCGGCATAAACATTTAACAGCTCAACCCTAAACTTTTTTACGGACTACGCAGACCAAGTATATTTGTAATAGTTTCACTCTCTTTGCAAGCACGTGAGATGCACTCACGTCTTGGCAAAAGTGCTTTTCTTCCCTCGTTCAACCCTCTTTTTTTATGTTTATGTTTTTTTTAATTATTCCCTAATTTATGTTAGAAAAATACCAAGAATACTTTATGAACCACATTGTTGTTAGTCCATTGTAAGACTAAGCTCATCCCCTCCCTTTAGTATAGATAATACCGTTTGTTAAAAAAAAAAAAAAGGTGACGAAGAATCCCACTTTGAGAGTCTACTTAGCATTTCTCTTTATGTTAACATGGTCTAAAATTAGACGTGGTTTCATTACACTTAAAATGTTAATAAAACTTTTTATTAACAAGAGCAATATAATTTACCCAAAATTAATTTAAATTATGGGGAGAGGGAAATGGAGGAAAGCTTGAAATCAATGCGTAGTGGGATGAAGAAAAGTGTTCTATCCACAATTATTATTCAGTATTCACCACCTTCCAACAAATTATTGTTCTATCCACAAATATTATCCACGACTTTTTAACAAAATACATTAATTCTTTCTATGTAAATGAAATCACATATGAACTAGAAGTTATAAATTCAATTCCTAAGCCACTTAGTATTATAGGTGAGTGATATTCGATATCAATTTATCTTTTTACTTTTTAGTGTAAATATATCGTTGTATACAAAAAAACTCAATTCCATAAAAAAATGCAAGGATTCCAAATTATTTTCATCACCGAAAGTAATATTAAAAATGTCACAAATTCTCATCTTCTCCTTTCTGTTAATAAAATAATCATGTAGTAAAAAATTTTGTAAGCAAAAAGAAAAACCGAATATGATAGAAACTATAATATTACAAATGGAGAAGGCGATTAATGCCAATTTGGCCAAAGATGGAAATGAATTATTTCAATATTGTGACAGGTAAAACATTGAAGAAAACGACGCATGAATTGAGATAGAAAATTTTTGAAATTGTCTAGAAAGAGAAAATTTCTAGACATTTAGGATTTAGTGATATTTTCTCTCGTTTTTTGGCAAAACATATCTCTAATTTGAATCATCCATCCCTTATAGAAAATAAAAAAATTTCTAAAATGAATTGTTATTGGCATTCTAAAAATCTCATTTGGCACTCCAAACATTTTATAATTAGAAAGAAAAATACACTTATAAGAAGTGTAGATTGAGATTTTTGAAGTGTTAATAATAGTTCCCTTTCTAAAAATGGTAAGATTAATTAGTTTAAGTTGATTAAGGTAGAGACGGCGCGTGGGAAAGATGGTGAAAGATAAGAATGTCTTTTACGCCTTAGGCCTGTACAAACTACAGAGTCGGTCTTTTCTCTTGCACTGAAAGCTGCTGTTACTGCTGCGGGACACTCCCCCTTCTCACTCTACCAATTTTTTCTTTTTCTTTTTACTCAATTATTTATTTATTTATATTATTCGAGAGATTTGATGTTAATTTTTGTTTAATTTTTGTATTCTCTTAAACTCTGCAACTCTACGTGTCTCTCTCCAGCCCCTGGGAGCCATTGATCCATGTCCTTCCTTCTCCAAATGCCCTGAATAATTTTCTAGGGTTTCCAGTAAAGGAGGCATTTCCAATAGGAGGGTGCTTTGTCTTGAAGGTGCTCAACATTCTGCAGGTTGTGCAAAAAGGTTTGGACTTCTTGGAAATTGGGGTTTTGTTTGTTGTGAATTTGTGGGTATTTTTATTAGCATTGAGAGTTTGCATTCTATGTGGAAGAACTGGCATTTTGAAGGTTTTATGTGCTGAATTTAACTTACTATGGTGAAAGATTGAAGATTTTCAAGATTCTAGGGTTTGGGTTTCTGAAATTGTGGGTTTTGCTTCTTGCAAAAGTGTGACTTTGGTGGGTTTGTGAAGGGGGGTGGATTCATGCATTTCGTGCTTGTTGGATCATATATATTGGATGAGTTGAATTCTGGGTTTTGGTTAGGATTGTGTGGTCAAAATGCAAGATTTCTAAGGGTGAGAACAGTGGTTCTATAGGAGGGCATTGTTGGGGGTGGTTTTGGTGCATAATGGGTTGCATTTATTGTAAGCCCTCTGCAATTGAGGATAGCAAGGAGAGCCCCAGAGAGAGATTGTCCAACAAGGGGGCATCAGACTCGCGGACGACGAGGGTTGCTTCCTCAAGGAGGGAGGAAACTTATCGGCCGAAAGATCGATATGATGGCAATGGTGGGAGAGCAATGTTGACTGATACGCAAGTGAATGGGCCTGTTCGATCGCAAGGTGAGAATTTTGAAAGGAAAAGGGAAAAGATGGAGTATGTTGTTGCTCAACATCCTGGGATTGGTATCATTCCAAAAGCTGCAGAAGGGGAGCAGGTTGCAGCAGGGTGGCCCTCCTGGCTAGCTGCAGTGGCTGGAGAGGCCATCAAAGGATGGGTACCCCGTCGTGCAGATTCATTTGAGAAGCTAGATAAAGTATGCTTCTTTTCTTGTTTAGTTCTCAAGTAGCTTTATGGTGCAAGAAAAATCTGCATTATTGAGTTTGAATTTGGTATTTTCTATTTCATTATTGAGATTGAATTTGGTATTTTCTATTATTGAGATTGAATTTGGTATTTTCTATTTCATTGAAATCTGTTTCCTTGTGGTTCATAACTAATTGAGGAACAAGGTTTACTAAGTAGCCAATTTAAAGTTGGGGTTGAGGGCAGTAGTATTATTATTACTTATTAGTATTGACAAGTTTAAGAGGTCGCACTTGGTGCGATGGCAAATGCCTTCGCCCATGAGCGGTAGGTCTCGGGTTCGAGACTTGGGAGCAGCCTCTCCATAAATGGGGGTAAGGCTAGCCGACATTCACCTCTCCCAGACCCTGCGTAAAGCGGGAGCCTTGTGCACTGGGTACGACCTTTATTAGTATTGACAAGTTTAAGAATGTTGCGTCAAGGTATACTTATGAATAGGCACATGGAATTCATATGGTGCAAAATTCACTCTCAGTTCTCCTATGTCTTTGGTAATTGTAAAACTTTTAAAAGTAAAAGGCAATGGAAAACTTGGAGCTAAGGGCTAGTGTACACAGAAGCGTAAAGCATTGTTTATTAAAAATCATTTGACATGGGTGACTTGTTCAAGCATAACAGTTTTAAGGTAGTAGTTGGTTCTGCAAGTTATGAATGGGGAATTATCTGCACTTGTAGGATTTTGTTAATTTTACTTAGGTAGGTTGGTTTTACAGTTTTATGTTTTGGGTACTCTATTGGATGCTATTTGGTTGCTATGCTTATATATGTATCTGATTTTCACAATAACATTGAGAAAAGAAAAAGGTTTATGATATATAATAAATACTAAATCGCTCTATTCGGTTCTTTCCACTGTGATATGATACCTCTATTTTTGGTTATTTTCCTTGGTGCTATCTCTTTACACTTCCATATTAGCTGGCTTTGGTTGTGTCCTAATATTTATATTTTGCAGATTGGTCAGGGAACTTACAGTAATGTTTATCGGGCCCGTGATCTTGATCAAAAGAAAATTGTTGCTTTGAAGAAAGTGAGGTTTGATAACCTGGAGCCTGAGAGTGTTCGCTTTATGGCAAGGGAAATTCACATTTTACGAAGGCTTGATCATCCAAATGTTATAAAACTAGAAGGTCTAGTTACTTCAAGGATGTCTTGCAGCTTGTACCTTGTGTTTGAGTACATGGAGCATGATTTGGCAGGGCTTGCTTCACACCCTGGTCTGAAGTTTACAGAAGCACAGGTACTTGGTCGTCTTCTTTCCTTCTTATACTAAAATAACAAGTTACTGTAGGTTTTTTGTCAGTTCTTGCTTCCTGTATCTGCATGATGTTTGTGTTATGAACTTTCTCTCATCAGCATCCATTGATGCTACTGGTGTATTTTGTTTACTTTGACACTTGTGTAGTTGTGTGAATGCTATCCTGCAGTTTCATTTCACTTATGTATATAGGCTACACAACTTATGTTATGCTAGTATCAAGACTGTTCAGTTGGATGGATGATTGAGGTTCAATTGATTTATTGGCAGGTTAAATGTTACATGCAGCAACTGTTATGTGGACTTGATCATTGTCACAGTCGTGGTGTTCTGCATCGTGATATTAAAGGTTCCAACCTTTTAATTGACAACAATGGCATGCTGAAAATCGCAGACTTTGGTCTGGCAAGTTTTTTTGATCCTTGTCAAAATCAACCTTTGACAAGTCGTGTTGTAACTCTATGGTATCGTCCACCTGAGCTTTTGCTTGGTGCTACTTACTATGGGACAGCTGTGGATTTGTGGAGTACAGGTTGCATAGTTGCTGAACTGTATTATGGAAAGCCTATTATGCCTGGAAGAACTGAGGTATTTAGAGTGTTTTTTTTTTTTTTTTTTTTTTTTTTAGTTGATGCTCTTCACTGATTTTTATCTTCCAACTATTTGGTAGTACAAATGCGCACACGCATGTTTCTGCATTTAAATTGAATACTTTCTAGTTGGTGGAAGAATAAGAAATCAGCTAAGAACCTTTCTTATCTAGTGGAAACCACCATAATGAATCATCTTCATAAATGTGTGCTGTAAACTTGCTTCCATCCTTATTCCTGATCTGGTTTGTTGTGATTTTACAACATAAACCTAGTGGTGGCATCTTGCATGTCTGTCTTGTGGCTTTCTGAATTGTTGTTCCTGTTAGGTTCATTATACACTTCGAAGTAGTTTGAGTGTAAAATTTCAAATTATTCTTCCCCTTTCTTAGAAATGGTTTGTTAGATGTGAGATTGCTCATTAGAGGTGGCTTTGCAAGTAACCTCGTTGGGCCATGCCACCATGAAAGATTTGTGGTTTTAGCTGGTAGGTTAGGGATAGTTTATGTACTGTTTCTGTTTGCATTCCAGTTGCTCAATTTCTCTGTGTCCTTGTAGTCATGCCAACTTTGTAATTATTAGGATATGTCCCCTCTCCGTTTTTTACATTCAGAATCTCATATGCTTCTCTCAGATGTAAGTGTTGTGCAACTAAATAACCGGATTTTGTGGATTTTTACCTTGTAGGTGGAGCAGTTGCATAAGATTTTCAAGCTTTGTGGCTCACCTTCTGAAGAGTATTGGAGAAAATCAAAGTTGCCTCATGCAACCATATTTAAACCCCAACAACCTTATAGACGTTGTGTGGCAGAAACTTTTAAGGATTTCCCTGCACCAGCTTTAGCACTTATGGAGACCCTTCTTTCTATAGATCCTGCAGATCGTGGATCTGCAGCTTCTGCTCTCAAGAGCGAGGTTTGGATCTTAATTTAATTCCAATTTAATGTTTTCTAAACAGGCATTATTTTTTCTGCAGTCTTTCTTTTAACTCGATATCTTCTTTGACACCATTCTCTATGTGTGCCTCACTACTTGTGCATGCTTACATCTGCGGTAGAGCTGTAGATATGTTGTGCTTTCCGTCTTTTGCCTGTGGTATTTTTGAAAGTACAACTTTACTATGTTCAAGTCCACTTTTCATTGAGTTCACTTATTTAACGTCTTCTCTGCTTTTATGCCATGTAATGGTAGCTCTGGAGATCATGTTAAGCAAACCACCAGATTGCAGCAATTTTTTTTGGTTTTTCCTATTCTGGACTGCGCTTTTAAAGGCTACAATGTGTATTTTAATTGGCAGGAACATTTGATAACTCTCTTCTGCATTAATAACTATTTAGATATTAGAATCATCCTATTCTCTTTACGAGTTATTTTACCATAACTTTGATTGTGTTTCTCATGTGTTATCTTTTTGTTTCCTTATTTTTCACAGTTCTTTACAACAAAACCTCTTCCTTGTGATCCATCAAGTTTGCCAAAGTATCCTCCAAGCAAAGAGTTTGATGCTAAAGTACGGGATGAGGAAGCTAGAAGGTGAATGTTGTTACATAAATTAGTAACTGACACTTAACTACAAGTAGAATTTTACCGTTTCTCAATTTATAGTTGCAAGGCACTTGCACAGTTGCACCACTAGCGTGTGTTTATATATATTATAACTAGATTCTACACACATTTTAAGGTACTTACATTCGTGGCATGAGTGGTTCAGTCCCAAGAATAACAACAACAAAGCCTTATCCCTCTAAGTGGGGTCGGTTGTATGAATCCTAGAATGCCATTGTGCTCGGATTTGCTCCAAGTCTTCCGTTGGCCCCCCAAAAAAAAAAAAAAATGAAAAAGCCTATGATACAAGCACTGAGAGGTAATTGAGCAAGTCGGACAGACTTGATGCATGATACCTATGGGTGAAGTTGTTCTTTTGTGATTTTACCAAAGCTTCCATGTAGGGGTTCTTGGGTTCTTAACATCAAATAATGGGAAACTATCTAAACGTAATGGAATGAGTAGGCCTTGGTATTTAATAACTGATCTCATAAGAGTCTGGACACTGGAGTTTCCCTAAAGCACCCTAGTTAGTACAATTTTTCGTTGGTTGGGGCTGTGTATGGTTGTGATTTAGTCTCATTTATGAAGTGCATTAGTGTAAAACCATTTATTATTTCTGAGTACATGCTTACACACTGATGGTTTTTGGTTGAATTCTGTCTACTGATTTCTCAAGATTTAATTTGAGTATTGTGAACCTGATATCAAGTTTGGTCCTATATGTATATTTTTTTCCTCTTCTATTTTTAACATTGTTAATGTGGGTGGTGTATATAGTAACAATCTTTTTCCACACATTGGTAGACAAGGAGCAGCAGGGAAGGGCCAAAGGTTTGACCACGAAAGGAGAGGAACAAGAGAGTCTCGAGCCATACCAGCACCTGATGCCAATGCTGAATTAGTCATGTCAATGAAGGTAACCTGATGTTATTTTAACTAAAAACACTCACTTGGCTCCATCATTGATTTATGCTCTAACCTTTTATATATGATGATATTTATGTGTTGCCTTTCTTTTCTGATTTTTACATGAACTTGCAGTATTTAATTGACATATTCAATGCACTCTTATTGCATAGAATCTGCCAGAAAATATCTTATATATTTTCTCTTATTGCATCAATGTTATCCGGTGCATGTGAGTTGGATGCGATCATACCAACTCACATGCACCGGATCCAATCAGAACTCCGAAGTTAAGCGAGTTTGGGCGAGAGTAGTACTAGGATGGGTGACCTTCTGGGAAGTCCTCGTGTTGCATCCCTCCCCACCTCTTTTAGAGGTCGCACTTGGTGCGATGGCAAGTGCCTTCGCCCATGAGCGGTAGGTCTCGGGTTCGAGACTTGGGAGTAGCCTCTCCATAAATGGGGGTAAGGTTAGCAGACATTCACCTCTCCCAGACCCTGCGTAAAGCGGGAACCTTGTGCACTGGGTACGACCTTTTATTTCTTCTTTAAAAATCATGTCTTTTTTTCAAGTTTTCTACTATGAAAAGGGGCTTTTATGATCAACCCAAATTTTCCCTTGAGTTATATATAGTTATATACCCGTGCTTAACTTGTGATTTCTACCAATGTGATTAACTCCGCATAACATTGATGGTCTTGTTAATTACCGACTTGCTTTTCTTAAACTACGAAATAATGTATTTTTCAGCTGTGAAATAATTTCTTTCACTTATAATCTTGCGTAATCCAAATTGCATGTTATTATTCAATGCAAGAAATTGTTGGACTCAAATTTCTCTTGGAGACCCTTTGTTGTAAATTATTCAGTATTGTTTATGATATTACATTCATATGGGATATATATCTCAATACAAGGGATTTTCTTGTTACAGAAAAGACAAGATGGTTCTAAGAGCCGTAGTGAGAAGTTTAACCCTCATCCAGAAGAAGTAGCTTCTGGCTTTCCAATTGATCCACCTAGGCCATCACAAGCCGTAGATGCAAGTGTAGAACATCATGGACATAATCATAAGCGAGCTTCCCATTCAGGGCCATTGGCTCACCGGGCTGCATGGGCCAAGTCTACTAAGAACCCAGATGATGCTCCAAAGGTTTCAACTGGAGCTGACTTGTCAGCAATGTCAGGTTTAGTGGTAGCAAGGAGGAGTATGTTATCTGAAGAACGCAGAAAAAGGTCTAGTTCTTCACAAATGGAAGTTCCAAAAGCAATAGGCAGGTTTCCGGGTTCCTTCAAGGAGGCATCAGATCCCCTACAACAAGATCAAAAGCAGGTCATTGAAGGTTCTCATCAAAAAGATATTCGAAGCAACAAAGATCCAATTATTGTGAGTACCTGAACTCACGCCTTTTCCCCTATGATGGGGTTTCCTTGTTGATTTATAATCGCTTGTGTAAAATAACCTCAAGGGTGTGCGTTTTGTTTTAATTTTGATTTGTGGTTCATAAGCTATTCTTTATGGTTTATGTTTCGTTTTTTTTTTGGTTTATTCTTGTTGCCCAATAGATCACTTTTTATTTCTGGTTATTTCAGGTTGGTTACGGATCAAAGGGTCACAAAATGCACTACTCAGGTCCGTTGCTAGTCCCCTCTGGGAACGTGGATCAGATGCTGAAGGACCACGATCTCCAGGTCCAGGAAGCTGTTAGACGAGCACGCCTAGACAAGGCAAAGGTCAGAAAATTTCACGCTGAGGCGAACCAAATATCCACCAATTCATTATTTGTTTCTGGTCGTTGAGCTGGCATAAGTAGACCCGAAAGCAGAGCATCAGCAACAGAAAAATCACCGCAGATAAAATTGCTGGTTTTCTCTTGTGAAATGTGAGTTATTCATTGGTGGGGGGTGCTTTTATTTTTTTGTATAGGGGGGGGGGGGCACTCGTGGAAGAATAGCCGGTGCCCATTTTTAACTAAGTTTATAGCACACGCTCGCTTGCTCTCTCGCTCTCTCACCTGTATCGTTTTCCCTCCTTTGCAACTGAAAAATATGGCCCATTCTTGTAGAGCTTGTTATAAGCCATAAGCTGTAGAGTATGTGGGAAATATGAAAATTGTGTTTTGTGATGGAAAAGAGTAATTTCCTTGTGCTGTTCTAACCACCTTCCCCTTTGTCAACTTTATTTAGTTTTTGGATAAAAAATGGGGAAGGGGTGAATCTGTCTACTCTTTTGAGTTCACATTTATAATTCTCACTGTAATCATGATTAGCCCCCTTTTTCTTACAGCTTGACTGGAATTCTAATCATATGCTGCAGAATTTCCTAATCCTTTGATTTTTGAGTCATATATGATCTTGAAAATAGAGACTACCCAGATGATTACATGAAGACTTGTACTTGCCTAAATTTTTGTTGGGTAGATTGACACTATAAGGTTGAAAAATGTATCTGGCTGCGTTTGACTTCTTGTCATAGGCATTTTTTTATTAGAACTTTATTCTAATCAAACCAACATACGGAAAGGAGGTTTCAAACTGTTCTAGCCAACTTAGCTACGTCTAAGTCTGCTCTTGTCGTGGGCATCGAAAGTCTACGTCTACACACTCCTTTTCTCCTTATGCACATCCTATTTTTTCATTCCTTGATTCTCCTTTGGTTTACTTAATCTAAAGGTTAGAAATAAATAAGTGTGTAAAGAAGTATGCGGATATAAGTTCCCAAGTCGGCGTGCTTGTTCAGTCTGGGTTTTTACCACACAAATGTTGACTTGGAAAAGTTGGGGTTTAATTCAATTTTGTTGCTTCTGGAAGGCAAGGCAAGTTCTATATATTTTGACTGCAGGATGATGCAGAAGACTCATAGCTTACTGCAGGTGCCATAGAATTCAATGGAGTCCCTTCGATTACTTGTACTATTCCTAACAACCCTCTTTCTCCTCCAATCAAGTTTTGCAGTTGATTTCTCCTTCACTGGTTTCAACTCATCTGATATCTTGCTCTATGGAAATGCAACCACAGATTCTGGTGTTCTTTCTCTCACAACCAACACCACATTTTCCATTGGCAGAGCTCTATACAATGCCAAGGTTCCCACAAGGTATCCAGATTCCATAAACCTTTTGCCTTTCACCACCTCTTTCACCTTTTCCATAGCCCCATACAAGGACTCTCTCCCTGGCCACGGATTCGTCCTTGTTTTCGTTCCCTCTCCAGGCATCCAATCCGCCTCTGCATCCCAACATCTCGGCTTCTTGAACAATACCAATAACGGTAACCCCAACAACCACGCTTTTGGAGTCGAATTTGATGTGTTCCAAGACAAAGAATTCGGTGACATCAACGATAATCACGTCGGCGTTAACGTCAATTCTCTAACTTCTCTGGCTTCTTACGACGCTGGATACTGGCTTGGTGAGGGCAGTAGCATTACTGACTTTTCTTTCAAGGAAATAAAGCTGAGTAGCGGAGACAACTATCAAGCTTGGATTGAGTACTGGAATTACCAGCTCAGCATAACATTGGCTCCTGAAAATGTGAAGAAGCCTGAGAGGCCTTTGATTAGGGTTCCTCTTGATCTCTCTCAAGTTTTTCTTGATGAAATGTATGTTGGTTTCACTGCATCAACTGGCCAACCAATTGAAGATCATAAAATTCTGAACTGGAGCTTCAATAATTGAAGCTAGTATAATATTTAGAGTATTTCGTCGATGTACTCTCTGAACTTGTAGGTCGTTTTTAATTTTCCACTTTGTTTTTTTTAGAATAAATGGGACTCAAACTATTAAAAAAAAAAAAGCCAATTACCTCCGTGCCGTCATATTTCCTATATAGTGCTACATCCAATGTATTTATCTTGAATATGTGAGTTGGAAGATTTGTACCTTCAGAAACAAGTAAGGTTCATGACATGCCTCATTAACCTGGCTTAATGGAGGCATGAAAATATTTGTTTCTTGTTTTGATTTTGATTATGTAAAAGTTGATGGTATTGTAAAACGATTATAATTCTCGGTCCTTATTCGTGCATGATCTTTGTGATTTTATATTTGACATTTTTTTTATTCAAACGATATTCTATTATAAACTATTCTAATTTACAAAACAAAAAAATTTGAATTCGGTGCAAGAAGATGTGAGCATACTACGTAAGCCAAATGTAACATTTCACATTTGCTGTGTTTGCCATTTCCAAAGTAGCATTTGTTGCTGATGAGTCAATATTATATTATATATTTTACCCTATTCTTAGTATAATTTGGTAATTATTTTGGTATAATTTTGATACTTTGCTTTATATTTCCGATATAAGACATTTGATTTCCTCTGGAGCAAAACGGACGAATTTTGGAGTGATTCAAATTGGAGGACGTTTGCCTGTCTCTTGGCTTGTTCGTGTCAAAATTTGGGATTTTTCTACCAAACGGTTATTCTCTGGCGATTTAATACAAGAGCAGTGCGCGTTACTGGAAAGTGACGTTTCTGGGCTTAAATTGCATTTTTGGAGTCCAAGATGACCCCATATGGGTTTGTGGCATTCTGGAGAAGTGTTCAGAATAGTCCAAGCTTTAAATCCATTTATTTTGGGCCAGTTTTGGAGCTGATTTGTGTCCAAAATGTGGATGTGCAGATTTCTAGACGAATTTACCAAGTCAATTTATGATTTTGTTTCCTATTTTATTTCAATTTATTTAGTTTTCTAGTCTTAATCTAAGACATTTTACTAGGAGGATTTGATTTAAGAGTAGTATAAGTAAGCCTTTTGGCAGACCAAGGGTTTTTCTTCTACGTACGCAAGATTGAGAAAAGAATTTGGCTAAAGCTTAGAGATTTTCAAGACTTATACTTTCAGGTGTTTTCGTTCTTTTTCTAGTTCAATACGATTATGTTGATTTTAATTATGAATATGCGTAACTAATTCTCTTTGCTAGGTGAGGCCATGATCCTTAGCAAGAGTATGTAGTCTCTTTTTAATTTTCTTATGAATTTATGCATGCAAGTGGATTGTTAATCATTGTGCTTTAAATTATCTATTTGCCTTAGTAATTCGCGACCATCAGGATATTTAGAAAAGTAATTTAAGGCAATTTTGGTGGATCCCTAAAATTGACTAAGGCTTCTTGTGGTTAACATGTGTAATTACTTAGGATGGACGTCACATCTTAAGAGTTACATGGTTTTTCAAAAGGTTTTAACAAAACTTAATGAGTCTTGCATGTTCACATTCAATCTAAACGTCATGGACGGGTTGCATGTTAGATATACGTTCTATGTTGGGGGTTTCAAGTAAGACATACTTTATGAAAACCTAACCTTCAAAATATGCATGTGTAATTCATAAGAAATTAGAAAAACTACGTAGGATTGTTAAGGTGACGGCAGAACTCTAGTGCTTTTCCAAATTTGTTTCTCAAAATCTTTTCTCTTTGATTTGTTTCCTTTTTAATTGGTTTTTAGTTGCTTTCCCTAAATTACTCTTATTAAATTTCGTTTTTTTATTACTTTTGAATTCAAAATCAACCTTTTCCAATCTTTACTTTCAGATAATTAACTAGGATTATGGTTTTCATAAATTGTTTTAAATAATCCATGCGGAAAACACCGTTTATACTACAATAACCTTATTCTCTTGCAAGTATTTTGTATGATTTTAACCTCATTGCGCAGGTACCTAAAAATCTTATCAGTTGCATATGGCCCAAAGGCCACTAAACAAAACATTTGAATGTTATGTGTCCAATAGGGGCAACCATGTCCACCACATATAATTCAAATGTGTCTGGTAGGACAAACATGTATGTCCACCACCCACATAAATTTCATTCATCAATTTGATCAATAATTTAAAACACACACAAGAGTCCCTACCAAACAACATAACAAACTAAAAAAGAAAACAAATAAGAGGCTCAAACAAAACGGACTTACACAGGCGAATGAATATTATTATGCTGGAAATGACCACTAACAAATTCTTTTTTTGTGCTAACTATATGCTTATATCCAAAACGTTACTATAGGTCTCAAGATTAAACATTTTTTTTTATAATGGAATGCACATGTAACTGTCACATTCTATCTTTCTAACTTGCAAGGGTGCACAATGATCTGAATTTATTTTCTTATCCTTTAAACATTATCTCTACAAAACTTAACTAGATCCAGAATTGTTTAGTCATCTAACGGTTATCTAAATAAATAAACGAATCATGTTTCTCATTTGAATGTTGAAATTTTAACAACATTAGTTGAACGGTTATAACTAATCTCTAATATTGTGTTAGAACATGATATGTTTTTAGAAGTTGAAATTTGATGCTTAAACAACATAGACTTAAATGGATGGATTACTGACCTCAAATTATTTATTAAAGATGCTAACACTTATGCCCAAACAAAATCTTGAAATCTATAGATTTCTTTTACTCGAATTTGAGAACATGGACGTGCACCAAATACATTAAATGTTGGGTACTTTTCAAGAGACGCTCTATAACTTCTATAGAATGTGGTGGGACAAATGATTGACCTCGTACTTTATTAAGGTCTAATAATTTTTACTAAAGATATATCACACACATGCATGCTTTATAATTGACACATACTATTACAGAAGTAAAAGTGGTTGATGTTTCTTATTAGCACAATTTTCGATTTGTTAAAGATAAAGAACGGTTCCATGTGCTTTATAATCAACAGTTCATTTTAAGAATGTTACTTGCTAGTATAACAGTTAATTTATTAAATACATATAGATAGATGATTAAATACTCTCTAGATTGAATGATTTTTTTAGAGATGTTCTTTAAATGATGATAAGGATAATGAATGGTTATGATTATAATGTTTGTACAACAAAATAATGTCACGTCGCCGTTAAATGAAAAGTAGCTTAGGCCATGGTCTAAGCCAGGTGTTGTACATAATTATCATAAATGGTTCAGAATAAGAGTATGAAAATATAATAGAATGACAATTTATAGGAATAAGATTTTCTTCCTTCCAAATTCCCTCTCCTCCTCTCTCACTTTTCTTTTTGTCTTTCTCTCTCTATAAGGAAGTCAACACAAAATGTTGACGTGACTTAATTATGAACGTTTATATAAAAGGAGACTAGAAGAGGAGAAAATATCGATCCGAGTTTACAATGTTTGATAAAGGTGGCCATATGGTAGTTTAAACAAATAATACATGAATACGGGAAGATGACAATATGCAATTACTACTGATGCAAAAAGGGCCACAACTCTCGATCTCAGCCTACTTACAAGAAACAAGTATTTCTTCAGGTGCATTTACAATTTGTCACAACATTACTGTCCAAAAAAAGCATATGCATTAATATCTCACACATCTAAAGAGAAGGGGCTTCAAATAATGATAATTAACAAAGCATAGATGGAAAAAAAAAAAGAAAAAAAAAAGCATAGCAAACTTGCTGATGATAAGTAACTTGCTACTTTGATACCACCACACAATTTATATCTTCATTACAAAAAAAAAAAAAAAAAAAAAAAAAAAAAGGCCCATAAATTCAAATTCATCTTCCACATATGCAAACACAAATATCTAGAGTGAAGAACAAACGAAAGTATCGATTACGCATAAAGATTTAAATGAACGAACATGTAATTTGATCAAGGTTCTAAAAAGCACTAGGCGCTAGTCGACGGGGGATTGGGGCCTAGCGTCTAGACGACTAGGCGGACTAAACAGATTTAATTAAATTTATTATATAACATATAAATAAATGCCTACTTATATTTAAAAAATAAAAATATACTTGTATTGAGACTTTAAGAAAGTTAAAAATTAAAACTTAAGTCATATTGCCATCATCACTTAAAAATGTAGCAAAAAATAAGAAAAATAAAAAACAAAATTTGAAAATTCACTAATTAAGTAGGTTATTTAGAAAAACCTTTAACTTAATTAAAAAAATAATTAAAACAATGGAACCATCTAACCAGCCTAGGCAGCCTCCTAGCCCCTACCTTATTTTTCTCAACATTTCAGCTTAAATCGCATCGGTCTGTCACCGCCTAGCACCTAGACCGATTTTTAGAACACCAAACTTAACATTTGTTGAAGGATGCTACACCTATGAAATCGCATTCGACGTTGATACATTATGAACTTTACATGCATCAACATCCAAATTATATTTATACTTTGTGCATGGGTAAGTGAGAAATGGAAGGGCTGTTTGGGAAGAAACTTTAATTGTGACGTGAATATAGATGATACACTACATATTTTTATGTAAGTAGTGGAAAATTATATTTGTTAAGTTATTAACTTTTTGACATACATAACCCACTATTTATGTAATGACACATGATGTACCATCCCATGTGATATCTCTTGTTTGGGTTTGCTGGGATTTTGGCTGGTGGGGGTGGTGTTGGGATATGTGTTACTTTTGATTTGAGGTGAGGGATTGTTTTATAATTAATTTATACTTTAATCTTTAATTATTAGGGTTTATGGTGGAGGATTAGGGTTAGGTATGCAGATTGCTGATGGCATAAGAGGCCAACAACTCCCTATAAATAATGTGGCTTTTTTAATACATCTGGCACTTATCTTCTCCACACCAATTAGATTAGATTAGTTTTATGTTTGTTCAATGAGATTAAACTAATCATTTGTTTATTGCTTTGCTTTTGAACCCTGATTAGAAGTTTAGCAATTTCTACTTTGGGAAGAGGTTCTTCTTCCGATTTTGGGACAACGATGAGCGATTCGCCGTTTCTTATTAAATTAATCAAAAAATTAACTCCACTAATGACTAAGTGATTAAAAATTATTGTGAACCATGTTAAGATTTTTTTAAATTTTATAATTTGAGTGAATTTGAAATCATGTTGTCACATCAAATACGGAAACACATATATATATATATATATATATATATATATATATATTTTCTTGTAAATTTATTATTATTAGGGGAGGTTTGAAATTATTAAAATAATTTAGGTGAGAGGAGAGTTTCAAACTTCAAACGCATGTGTGAAAAATTAATACTATATCTATTAGAATATTGGATCGCATGCAAACACAAAGGTCATTGATAAAAATTAGAATATCAAAAACACATTAAGATCATTAACAAACGAAAGTCTAGATAAAATTAATTTTCAAAATATTTATAAAATGCTAGACTTAAATACTCATTTCTTATTACTTGTCACTTATATTATTTATTTGTATTTGATTTATATGTCATTTTGTAAAGATAATCATCACAATATAAATTTAAAAATTAAATAATTCGGATTATAAATACACTATTCGCGAGATCAAAAAACATGAGCAGCCCTACATAAGGATGCAAGTACTATCCTTGAAAGGATATGTACAAGATACCGAGTTTGCAGCATAGTTTGGAGGGAGATGAATCATGATTGCACTTTATCAAATAGTATCTTCCACCGATGACCCACAAGGTTTATCTAATCTACTGTTTTGGATCTGGGCTTTTGAGAGGAAGAGGTGTTTGTTGAGCCACGTTGGTAGTTTGGAATAAAGCGGGAGGATAAAGAAGATGGTAATGCCTAAAGTAGAAAGAGTGGTCTCTCTTTGCTCTCGGGAGGCAAAAAAATAGTAATATAATACGGGACTTGAGAAAATTAAAAAATAAATGTATAATCTTTTTTTGTTTATTTTTCTGGGTTTTTAATTTACAAACGGTCTGTGTTTTTTGTGGGGAGATTTTGTTTGTTTTCTTGTTGAGAAAATATTGGGGAATTTATAAGGCTGTGGAGGTTTCGTCTGAGTAGTGCCGCTTCAAAAAAGTTGTGCTGTTTCTCTTCTGGTTGGCCTAGCAGAACACAGAACACACAACTCCATTTTCATGGTGATACTGGTAGTTCTCTCTCTCTCTCTCTCTCTCTCTCTCTCTCTCTCTCTCTCTCTCTCTTTCATGCTATATATAGACTTGTCTTTGTGTTTTGAGTATTGAGCAAGAGAGCTTTTTCTTGGTGGGTTTTTGTTGGTGATGGTGGTTGAGATTGTTTGTTCTTAGAAACTGTGTTGGAAATTTCATGTATGTGACTGTGTATTTGAATTGTGAATTGGGTTTTGTGAATCTGTTCTTACTTTTTGTCAGATCATTGTTATTGTGTTGGTGGAATGCTTTTTCCTGTTTTCTGGGTTCAAAGTTTGCATAGTTAAGCTTATTAATTAGTTTTGTGATTGTGGGCAGCTGGGAATCTGTTATTTGTTTGTGAAGTCAAGAACTTGCTGTGCTTGATGAGAGACTCGATTTTCGCTGTATCTATTTGCGCCGCAGAATGAGCTTCTGATTCAAGATGGTGGAAGTGAGAGAGTGCATTAGAAGTCGGAGAACTCCTCCGTGTATTGGATGTGTGTGTTCTGGCATTCATGCTGCTATAGGCGGATAACAATGGAAGGCTCATCCGAGTCTGCTGGGCAGAATTCTGATAGCTCTAGAGGGTTGAATACTTCCAGAGTCTCAAACCGGAATCCAAGGGTTCATCGGGCTGGACGGTTTGGCTCGTCGGCTGAGGCATTTCAGGATTCGGATTTGAGAAAGGAGAGAGATAGTGTTGTGGTGGCACACACTGATGACCTTACAAACCAGGGTGGATTGTCCGGGGTTTGTGAGGATGAGGTGGCGGTTGACCGTTTTGTCCGAGCTATTGAATGGGGTGATGTTAGCTTGAGGCAGTGGTTGGATAAACCGGATCGATCTGTTGATGTATTTGAATGCTTGCATGTATTTAGGCAAATAGTGGAAATTGTTAATGTAGCACATTCGCAAGGGATTGTTGTTCATAATGTGCGACCTTCATGTTTCGTCATGTCATCTTTCAACCACATCTCCTTTATCGAGTCTGCATCTTGTTCAGATTCTGGCACTGATTCTCCCGAGGATGAGTTAAACAGCCCAACTGAAGAAATTAAGGATTTTCACTCTCTCTTGCATCGTAATTTGCGTCAGCAACGAAGGAACTTAGGAAGAGAAAAATTTCAGTCTATGACAACTCCAAATGCCTTGTCGGAAACGAGTTGCATGCAGTCAAGTTCAATCTATGCAGCACGCGAATCGTTGGTACAAGAGAGTGAAAATGGAATCAGAGACCGAAATGTTGAACTAGAAGATAAGAGACAACCATTTCCAATGAAACATATATTGCTTATGGAGACCAGTTGGTATACTAGTCCAGAAGAGGTTTCTGCTGGATCGAGTTCATGTGCTTCAGACATTTATCGGTTAGGGGTTCTTCTTTTTGAGGTTCGTAAATAAAAGCTTTCAATTGTTTATCTGTAGTATAAGTTAAATAAGATCTTCAGCATTCAGTTATCATTTTATGTAATGGTAAAAGTTGTTTTTGTTCAGAGTTCTTGTGTTTTTGTTTTCGTGGACTAACGCGGTGGTGCTTGTGACCAGTTATTCTGTCCACTCAGCTCAAGAGAAGAAAAGAGCAGGACAATGTCTAGTCTGAGACATCGAGTTCTTCCTCCTCAATTGCTGCTGAAATGGCCTAAAGAGGCTTCGTTTTGTTTATGGCTACTGCACCCTGAGCCAAATAGCCGGCCAAAAATGTGGTGAATACTCCTCACAAAATGGCCTTCCATCTCAGACGTTGATTTTTCTTTTCAAAAGCTACTATATATTCAGCCTAAAATAATACTGTGCATAAGTGCCAATATATCTTGGAAGTGGAATTCCGTTCTCAAAGAAGTCCGTGCACGTCAAACTTAGGTTAGGTCAGTAGGAAGGTTTCCGTAGATTTTCCAACCAGTGAAATTCATGTATTCGATTGGTGTTGGCAAATAAAGGATTAGAAGCATTAGGAGAAGAAGCCACTAGATTAACATGGCTATATAAGTGGAAGTAGATTTTTCAATTGCACTGAAAAGTTGGCTGATTGACTAGATGTTAAAAAATTTCTTCGTAACATAGGGTATCTGGTTAGCAACTGCCCTACATATACAGGTTTATCTTGTATTGTGTAATAGGATTTCGGTCCCCGAGTTTCATGGAAGTAATTGCTGTATATATAAACTGCATTACATATATCTGTAATTCATTACGTCATGAAATACTCCATTTTATGCCATTTTCTATAATTTGGTCTTGTAGTTCATAAATCCCCTTGTATCTTTCACTTTGTTCTGCATCTTTTCCTCTTCTACTGACTTGTAAAATAACTCTCTCCTGTTTCTTTTGTGATACATACTATACCTCCAGCGGGGTCACAATATCTAAATCTACTTTGTCTTTTGTTTCAGTGAGTTGCAACAAAGTGAATTCCTGAATGAACCAAGAGTTGATTTAGAAGAACGTGAAGCGGCAATAGAGCTTAGAGAGAAAATAGAGGAGCAGGAATTATTGCTGGAATTCCTGCTGCTCATACAACAAGGGAAACAGGAATCTGCAGATAAGTTGCAAAATACTCTTTCGTTTCTGTGTTGTGATATTAACGAAGTTATGAAGCACCAAATAACTTCTAAGAAAAAGGGCAGTTCAATCCCACAACTGGTGAAGGAAGATGATTCGACCTCAAGTTTCCCGTCTATGAATATTATTGACGATGATGATTCTGCTAGTGGGTCCAGAAAAAGGTCCAGAACAGGCATCTGGGTTCACAACGTAGAGGAAAGTGATGATAATTTGGATGGTCAGAAGACGGATACTGAAAATCAAGGTGTTCTCTCGAGAAGTTCTAGATTGATGAAGAACTTTAAAAAGCTAGAGGCGGCATATTTTTTAACGAGATGGAGGCCCGTAAAGCAGTCAGCTAAACCGGCTAAACATTCACCAATAAGTAGTTCTGTTGTAACTGAAAGAAGTTCTGTCAATAATTTGCAATCAAAAGAACAACATAGTGGAGGTAGACGAAGTGGTTGGATAGATCCATTTCTTGAGGGATTGTGCAAGTATCTGTCTTTCTCGAAATTAAAAGTGAAGGCAGATTTGAAGCAAGGGGATCTTTTAAATACTTCAAATCTAGTATGCTCACTTAGTTTTGATCGTGATGGAGAATTTTTTGCTACAGCTGGTGTTAATAAGAAAATCAAAGTATTTGAATGTGACACAATAACAAATGAGGATCGTGATATCCACTATCCCGTGGTTGAAATGGCTAGCAGGTCAAAGCTAAGCAGTATATGTTGGAATAGTTATATCAAAAGCCAGATTGCTTCAAGTAACTTTGAAGGTGTGGTGCAGGTAAGTCAAGCCTTATTTGTGATTCAAGTTATGACTTATTAGCTTGTTTTAACTAAATTGCTTAACATTTTCAGGTATGGGATGTTACAAGAAGTCAATTGTTTACGGAGATGAGAGAACATGAAAGGCGTGTATGGTCCATTGATTTTTCATCAGCAGACCCAACAATGTTGGCTAGCGGGAGTGATGATGGTTCTGTAAAGCTATGGAGTATCAATCAGGCAATTCTACTTTTGCATTTGGTGGATGTCAGCTTTGAAACTAAACGTACTGCATTGATCTGTATGCATGACGTGTATGTCTAATTCTGGATGTCTGATAAGCTGATTCTCTTTGTGGGTCGCTTCTGCAGGGAGTAAGTATTGGTACAATTAAAACAAAGGCGAATGTCTGCTGCGTACAGTTTCCATTGGACTCTAGTCGTTCCCTTGCCTTTGGTTCAGCGGATCATAAAATTTACTACTATGATCTTCGTAACTCAAAGGTTCCTCTGTGCACATTGATCGGACACAACAAAACCGTGAGTTATGTCAAATTTGTGGATGGGACAAATCTCGTTTCTGCGTCCACTGACAATACGGTGAAGCTTTGGGATTTGTCAATGTCCTCATCTCGGGTCATTGACACTCCAGTTCTATCATTCACCGGCCACACGAATGTGAAGGTATTATTTTATTAAAGCAATTCTAGGGGTGCTTTATGAGATTGATCTGAAATTGGTATATAATAATTGTGTTCTACTAGGTGCAAATATATTTCAGAAGCTTAAATACATGATGAATATTTTTAATATTTGATGCAAATGTTTTCCTGTAAATATTTCAGAACCTTCCAATATAGGCTGATTCTATAACCTAAACTTGTGGTGGATAATGAAATATTGTTCTTCATTGACCAATTTACTAATTTAAATTTTTTTTGTCGCTTTCGGATGACCAAAGTTTTCCGCCATGAGTCTTTAACTGCAAAATCTTCTTATTCAAATGCAATCTTCAATGTTATCGATATTTATGAAGGAAAACCGCTAAAGAACATAGTTTGTAAACGAGTAAATCTTTTATGCAGTTTTTCAAAGTTAGTCATTTGCATCTAAACAATGTTATTTTGAGCCCTGATAGTTATTTTCGTCTATTAGATGCAAGTTTAATATGGCCGTAGTGGTCTATGATTTATAGCTTATGCGTGTTTCCCTTGTTGCAGAACTTTGTGGGGTTGTCAGTTTCTGATGGTTACATTGCTACAGGCTCAGAGACTAATGAGGTAATTTAGACAAACATCTTCAATTTACCCCATGCACGGGTTGTTCGTATCTGGCTTCTATCATGCTACGACCAGTGAACCCAAATTTCTATTTTCTTATGTTCACTGGAAAATTCTGTAGGGTTCAAAGGAGGGCTAATGTGATAGGATGAACTTTCATTGTGGGTGTGGGGATACGATATATGTATTTAGTTAAAGGTTTCCAAAGCTTTCGTCTAAAAGTTTGAGAAAAATGACCTCTTCTAAAAATAAGGAAGAAACATGCTTTGAGATTAGTATATCAGCTAGCTACGTAGTTTTCTTCGGTGTAACTGTTTTACTTTGTAGTGACTCGTTTGAAAAGAATGTGACGTGCTGTTTGAAAAGATAAGGTAAATTGCAGAAGTTACTTATGCAAGCCTAAGAAGGATCTTACCTATCCGTTTACTAATCAAATGTGTCTCATTGAAAACTGTCAAATGAATTTTGAACAGACAATGCATCTCGTTTTGGTCATATTTAATGAATGATAATTATGTTCTTTGATTGATCAGGTTTTCATCTACCACAAGGCTTTTCCAATGCCGGCATTGTCATACAAGTTTCAGAACACAGACTCACTTTCCGGCCATGACACAGATGATGCTGCACAGTTTATCTCTTCCGTTTGTTGGCGAGGCCAAACCTCCACCTTAATTGCTGCAAATTCGACGGGGAATATAAAAATTTTGGAGATGGTTTGATGATCTCCAAGGTGATTCTTGAATCTGGCAGGATATATGGGGTGTTGAGGAGAAAATGAGGTAAAAGAATCTTATGCCAGAGAAGCTTGTTAGCTCATATGGGCTTTAGGTCATAGGAACTCAATGTTTCCAAGCAACATTGCAAATTTTGGTATTAGATGATTAGCGGGATAAGTGGTTAATGAGAAAAGTGAGAATGTTCTTGTTCAATTGCTATGTGTAGATAGAAATTTAAAGGAAATAGAAGGGTACAAAAATTGGTATTTCTGTGTAATTTTTAATACAATTCAAATCAATTTATATATCTATAATTTTCGAATTCATCTCTTTCTATGTTTTGTCTTCTAAATGAGAAAATTGTAGTATTACTCTCTATTTTAAAAATTGAAGCAATGGTCTCTTAATTAAAAATTTATGACCATTGGTTCCTTAACTTATTAAAACATGCAATTATGGTCATTTTTGTTAACTTTGTCAGAATTTAGTCAAATGAGCCGTGTTGGAAGGAGTACTGCTATAATTGAGTTAAAGTTGAAGGACCATTGTTTCAATTGGTTTAAAGGTGAGAGGCCATTTCACTACTTGATTTTCCATATTTGTCCCTTGATGAGTGGAAATCACTTCCTCAAACTAAATCATATATGGATTTGGAAAATGCTTTCAACTTTTCATTTACTCTTTTTTTTGGGTATGATACGACATGTCTGGGACACACTACCATTGTATAAAACACAAAGTTCTAAAAGACGCTAGGCGCTAGTCGGACGGTGGGTTGGGGCCTAGAGCTTAGGTGAATTTAATTAAATCTATTATTTTTTGTGTAAATAAGTGTATGTTTATACTTAAAATATATATGATTTCATCATAAATTATAAAATAGAATGATATATCTATTATGAGCTATTGGACATAATAAAAACATGGGAACAAACATATAATGTGTGTTCATTTAAGTATTCAACAAGTCTATTACAATTTATTGAAAAAATCAAATGCAAAATGAAAGTTATCTATTTTATGTCTAAGTGAGTCGCAACCTAGGCGGGTCTGGGCGGACTAGATGGTCTAGATGGGCGCCTTAATAGGTCTAGGCGCATTTTCTTAATTTTCAAACACCTAAGCATTAATCAGGATGGTGACCAACCACCTAGCGCCTAGGCGGCACTAGGCGGGGATTTTTAGAACAGTGATAAAACACACAATCATGTTGTAGACTTAATGTGATAGGGATTAGGGTAGTGCTACTCACATGCTCCTCTTTACCCTACGCACATTTTCTGTTAATTTTTATCATCTGATTATCTTCAATTAATTCAATTCAATGGCCGAAAATTTAGAAAAGTGTGTAGATAGTGCCACCCAATGTGCTAATGTCATGTTGGTTCGGGTTAAGAAGTTGGGTTGTATAGCATTGTCTGTTTATCTTGAGAGGAATTGATTAATTGGACTAATTTTATTGCTAATAAAATTCACATGTCATGTAATTTCAAATACTTATGAACCTATGTTTCTTCCTATTTGGTAATGTGAATTAGTGCTAGTCCTCTTCACCTTTATAGGTTTAATGTTTGATAATGGAAAAATTCGAATTACTTTATATTGTGCGACTTAACTCACATACCCGACTCTTTAAGGTACGTTGTTCAAAAAAATTCTTGTGATGTAGCTGACTGATTGTGTAAATTAATGCAAATTTCCTTAACCATTTTAAAGAAGTAACCAATTTACTCTAAAAAATTAAATTCAAATACCACATCTTAATAGATTCACCCAAATGGACCAATTCTTTTTTCTTTTCGGTTAATGAGGTTTTGGTCATGCATGTTATGTTCTTATTACCAGTTCTGTCCTTTTAAACTTAGGAAAACTAATGAAAAGAGTTTGAAAATTTTGATTTAAAAAAAAAAAAAGATTAAAAAAAATTCAAATGAAAGTTTTATTTTTTATGATTTTTTGCACAATATTTGTTTGTTCTTGGTCATTAGAGCATCTCTAATAGAGTCCCTACAACCGTATAGTCTCTAAATTTAAGGACAAAACGCTTCCAATGAGTTGGAATTGAAGTTTTCAAAGTATTTCAATGTATAGGGACTCGTTGGATACCTCAAAGAAATTATCAATTATGAGGACTACATATAGGAACTCAAATGACCCATATTAATTTTGAGTGAGAATGCTGCTGCTTTTTATGTTTTTTTCTCCTTGTTTTTTGAAACAACCCACGTGTGACAGCTTCTCATTTAATTTTCTCATATAGTTTTGTTTTTTTAACTCTTGAAAAATCAATGGTAGAGATAAGTTTTTTTTTTTTTAATTTTTAATTTTTAATTTTTTTTTAATTTTTAAATTTTTTTTTTTTTTATCAGTGGTCACAATACTTCAACAAATGAACAATACATTTTGATATTTTAGTCCTTACATTTAGAGATTAAACTATAAGCATTTCTCATTGCATTGCAGACAATATTCTTTTTAAGGATTCAAATATTTCTTTAAAGCCCCTAAATAAGTCCTCAAAGTTGGTGTAAGGACTTCTATTGCAGATGCTTTTAGATTTAACATATCACTGACAAACAAGAGCAAACATAAGTGTGCATAAAGCGAAAAAAAAAATAATTCCCTTTCTTAAAGGATTATAAATCAAGAGATAAGAAGATTCAAACTTCAACGCATGAAGCGATTAACAAACCTAATTCACTTACTGCATTTGCATTTTTTTTAAATGGAGGAGGCTCGGTGATGGAAGTCCGGCCACCCTTTGATTTGTTCTTGACTTCCTCTAATCACGAAGAGTCAAATCGTTGATATCTTCTGCCACCCAATCTGTTGCAAACACCACAATTAAAGGTGTAGTAATTATTTTAAGATTTGTATAACAATAGAAGATTATCCTCACCCAGCTTATTGTGTAGCCAGCATTATGTCAGTATCCCTTATCAGTATTCAGTACAATTGCTTAAATTGCTTTTGTCAATTTCTAATTTTGGCTGCCAACAAAAATTAGGTAAATTTCAGTTACGTTAAAAGACTTTATAGCTCTACTCAAGGGGTTGGTCTAAATAGAAAACAAGCAAAGATTTGGAATTTCTAACCTTAACAATTATGGGGTTCACCGGTTATGTTTTGGTCTGTATTGTTTAACTCGAAAACCAGTATGTTGCCGCCTCACGTGATATCGGGACTGCATGAAGAGAAGAATTATTCCGCTATCGATGTGTGGTGAGATACCTCAAAAGGACTCTAAAACAGCTCAAAAGAGGAGGAAAAAGAAGGAAGAATGAATGAAAACAAAATCTTACAAGTGCATACAACTTTATGACTTTTAGATTTTGGTTTTTAATTTTCACTTTATGTGCGTTTCCTTGTCATTTACATCTCTCCCGTCACCCTTCTCCACTTTTCAATCTATCCCATGTATTTATCCACTATCACTAACGCTAGGGAAAAAAAAAAGCGAAAACAAAATAGTTATCAAATCGACAAGTATAGTTTTTTAAATTACCAATCATTTGTACCCGTTATGATTACAAGCAAAGGCCAAAATTCTAGTTCCAAAGTTCCGAAAAGAAGAAAAAACGCAAGGTGGATGAACAGTAACAGTATATTAATGTATGATTGTAAAAGTTCTAGATATATAATCAACCTACAGAAACAATGATGCCGACCAAACACCTGTTTGGTTTCCAGAATGTGACAACTTAAGGATATGCTCAAAGGGACACTAATCTTAATCTTCCTCATCAACCTTAACTCTATCAAACTTCGCATCAAAACTCGATGATATCCCTTAAATTCCCAACAAACTGTTGTCTTAGCCTGTTGATACGAGTTCTCTTCTTTTTCTTTCACCGATTCAATTTTCAAGAATTTCCACACAATCTATTTACACTGGTTTTGACCAAACTTAGCTGTCAAGGCAAGCCTACTCACGAGGTGGCGAAGCCTGTCGGCGCCCGGACCTGGTTTGATCTTGTTCGGGTTCCCAACCCTGGAGCATTTGGGTTTGCCAGCACACCAGCCGCCGGGAGTGAAGCTGTCTTTTCTTCGGTGAAGTAATTCCTTATCGATCCTGTCCAGGACAGGGTCATCGTGTCTGAACTTCCGAGCAAAGGCAGCACCGCTTGCAGTCATCTTGTTTGTGTCATTAATGTTGAGGGTGTGGGGATGCTGCTTGGGAGGAATGTCCCAAGAAATATAGTGCAAATCATGGTTGACGGCAGTTTTGGCAAACTCCGGCTCATTGCATATAACAGTGTGAAAGTAGCCTTCCGGTGAAGAAACAAAGTTTGTGTAATACATGAGAAGGGTCCTCGGAAGATTGTCCCAACCCCAAACACAATACTCGACGAACCAGCGTGATAAGACCATCCATGCCGAACCTGCAACAGAGGTGCATATTAACTGATTGTGCAAAACAAAGAGCAAAACTGGCAATGCTGCATGCAGGATAAAATAATATATCCTAAGAGTATAGCCAACACTATCGGTTTTATAGGGAGAAAAAAACATACTCTATACTAATTGAAGAGCTACTGATTCAGTTAATGTAGTCTGCTCACAAATTGTTCGAAGTAAATAAATCTAGTTTTCAAATTGATTCACTGATTCAATGTGAAATATCGAAACCAAATTTCATCCCTGTAAATAACCCCCTCAACTTTCCAGTAAACCTTTTCTGTGGAAAGGCAGTAGACATGTTACAAACAAGATAACAAATGAGATTATCACACCGGTTATGTTTTTATGTAAATCCCCCATACGGCTCACTAAGAATTCCAGTAACCAGGCTATTTCTTCTCAGCAGAAGAAAGAACAAACTAGGCAACAGCATATACAAGAACATTAATAAAAACATATATTTCACTGAATGTTCTATGTCAAGATTTATAAGTTAGTCTTCTCTACATGAAGTTTTGATTTGTCAGGTTAAAAATTGTGAGCGGCCAGAGATCTAGAGAAAAGTAAAATACTCACCAGTAAACAATTTAAATGCAGTGGGCAATGTTCGCCTCGGTGTAACCCAAAAAACATCCTGTTTTTTAGATGAGTAGAGACCAGGGTCTAAAATCAAGGGCATTGCTCGTTTTTCCCTAAAAGATGAAAGTAAACATAGCATCAGTGATAGTAATAAATATGTAAGCATTCTATACATGTCCAGAGAGAGAGAACTCACTCTTTCCAGCCAAGTTGGCTTGTGTGCTCAATGAAATTCAGATTTCGGTTTAAAGTTGAAAACGTGTGAATAAGATCTGCATGAAAACATTTTGAACAGTTTCTTTTAGCACAAAAACTCACATTTTAAGATAAGTTTACAACCGTAATTGATATGGACTCACCATCTTGAGTAACAAGTGGATAATCCGAGGCGCTGAGATTGATAAACCAATCCCAATCCTTACTCCTCCTGAGAAGAATTGCGCAGGCATGAAGAGTATTAGCAACCATTGTTGGCCCTCTGTAAGTTACCATATTAGCTTTCTTGATCACAAACACATTCCCAACTGTATTAAAGAGAGTCTCGTTGTCCACTCGCGAAGCAAGCTCCAATCTTTCTGCTACCGGAGACTCAAGGTCTAAATGAAGAACATATTGATTCAACGGATGGTAAAGCGCTTTGAGAGTTCTCCAAAGCTTTTCCAAATCTCCTTTTGATCCGGAAATTAGATAAGCAAAGCGAGGAATCGCTGGTAGCGGAGGAGGGGGTGGACTTTGTGAAATTATTGTCTCAGCAAAAGCTGGACTAGATTGATTTGTTACTACCCTAGATGGTAAAAGGGAAAAGATCGAATTGATTGCGTTTCGTGAAGAGACGAGACCCGAGTTCAAGGAAGTAGCTAGAAGGAATATGCAGATGACAGAGCTTATGACAAGAGGGACTAGCCATTTCTTCTCCACTGCAGACCCCATTACCAAACCTTATGATGGGTTCTTCCAATCAATCTATTGCCACATAACCGTGTTCCTCAACTGATCAAGCGCATCCGAATGAGATGTAGATTAAGACTACTTTCTCGTAAATATTCCAAAGTCAAGACTTTTGCAACAGCTGTTGAATCAAATACCAAATATTAAAATACATACATTAGATTCATAAATTGTTACGTAGTTATGGTAAAACAAAGAATATTGTAGCGTTGCCGTATACATTTAGCTGACAAATTGGTGCTAAGAACTGCCAAAACAATACTATTTTATAAAATTATCATCAACCAAACAAAAAGTAATGGCACAAGATACACAATTGGAGCATCGAGAAAATCGACAACGGAACAACGGAATTCAAACAAAACAAATTAAAATATATACCAAAAGACTGGACTGCAACCTTGTTTCCAATTAGTCAATACAAATAAAATATCAGATATTTGCACTGACAGTGACACAATTAGTAGCAAAAACTATATGTCTAAGCAGAAGCAAATTCCAAATTTTGTATCCCTAATAACAATATGGAATATCTGCAGAGAGTAATAAAAAAAATCAAATATTGACTCAGTTATGCAAAACAAAGGGGAAACCCAGATCAGAAAATCGCAGTTTTGTGAAACCCAACAAGAAAAGAACAAACCAGAAATCAGATGTCACATACCAAGGCAGCTGAATCGTGAGCTCGAAAATACAAAATAAATAAAACCCAGAAAAGTTGGAAGCGTTCCGATACAAAGATGTAAACTTTATTGAGGGAGAGCGAGAGATGTGAGAGGAAGTAGAACCTGTTGATATCTTTTTCTGGTGGACAAGATGAAGAGCAAGAGCCTCTGTGCACGTTGAGGAATAAACAAAAAGGAGATTTGGAGAGAGACAGAATCATGCGAGAGGAGAGAGAGAGAGGAGAGGGACAGGGCGGGGGAAGTGGGGAGCTTGATGGTATTTAAAAGGGAACGAACGTGAATGTTTGTTTGCCTCACACCTGGACTCGGAGACCCAGGCGTTTTGGTTTTGTTGGGTCTCTTCTATCTGGGATTCACCAACACAACACGGCAACTGATTTCAACTGCTTTCCGTATCTTTGTTCATCTGCTGTTACATTCTCTCTGCGTTTCACTTTCCTCTACTTTTTCTGTTTTCGGAGGAGAAACGGTAAAGTTTTTATTAGATTGCTGATAACGATTTCAATCTTGGCAACGTGACGGGTAGTATCTGGAGCTTCCTCAAATCAACAAAATTCGGTTTTTGTTTTATATTTTTCCTCGATGTAGTTTTCAGCTGTAATTACTAATTGAATTAGGATTTTTTTTCCTCTAAATTCCCTTTTTCTTTAATTATTTTTTATTTAAACGATCACGATCACGATTAAATATAGAAAAAGAAGATTTGGAACCGAGAAAAATCCTATTCTTACAAATTAATGTGGTGGATTCCATGTGGGGCAAGGTAATGCAGATCAACGGCTGTCGTTTGTCACCTATTGAGTGTAGGATTTCATTGAATTGTTATCTTTGGCATTAGTTTCATCTCTCTTTCGTATCGTAAAATTAAGGAGAATAAGTGATTGTTTTCTGGTCAAACCAAAATATTTAATTGTGACTTTGACCAAAAAAAAAATTTAATTGTGAAAGAAAGCATTTACAAACTTACAAATAATGACCCGTTTAAGGGGAATAAAAGGTTTTATAAATAACCACTTAATACTACAATTTAATGATATTCATTTTCACTTATGAGTGAGAAATCTTATGTTCAATTTTCGTTAAAGGCGAATTTAATATCGTTTGTTCTAAAAAAAAAGGTTTCATAAATTAAAAAAAAAATAAAATAAAGGAAATTGTTATTGACACTCCAAACTTTTTATAATTAGAAAGAAAAATACACTAATGAAGAGTGTAGAATGCGATTTTTGGAGTGCTAATAACAATTTCTAAAATAAAAGGTAAGTTGTTTGGTCAAATTAAATTCTTTAATCTCGTATTAACCTTATTTGTACCATACTTGACCAATCCCGAAACTATTGAGCACCGGTTAATGTTATACCGTCAAGGACCCAGAAGAGTTTCATTCCAACCAGGAGGCCAATCACAGCGCGACACGTGTCGACATCAGAAGCCAATCATAGCGCGACACGTGTCAACATCAGAAACCAATCACAACACGACACGTGTCAATGTCAGAATGAAACTAAAAACTCTCTTCTATAAATAGAGATCATTCTCTCACAATATTTCCTAATGTCATTTGTACTAAATCATTCACTTGTACTCATTAAAGGAGAGCTTGAACCTATGTAATTGTGTAAACCATTCACAATTAATGAGAACTCCTTTACTTTGTGGACATAGCTAATCTGGGTGAACCACATACATCTTGTGTTTGCTTCCCTGTCTCTATCCATTTACATACTTATCCACACTAGTGACCGGAGCAATCTAGCGAAGGTCACAGACTTAACACTTTTTGTTGTACCAAAGTCCTCACTGATTTTGTGCATCAATATTTGGCGCCGTCTATGGGAACGACACTTATTCCCACTCTCTTCAGCTTTGCCAAGTTGGTTTCCACCTTTCGTACACTCTCTTTTGACAACATGGGGAGCAAAGGAAGCCACAACACACAGAATGACACCCCTCTTGCACCTAGTGCGAAACAACGAAAGAATGAAGGAAAAATGGTTGTTCTTCAAGCTAAAGTCGATGAGCTAGAAGCTCAGAACAACAAGATAGCAATGAAGAATGAGGTCCTCCAGGAGCAGTATGAGAAACTCTTTGAGACGCTCCACGAAACTAGGCGTACTCAAACACGCGAGCTCATTGCCCTTGTGGACATCAACCATCATCTGGGTGCCCCCCAACAAGGAGGGTCACCTCCTTTCGAGATGGGTATCCCTGATGAGGAGCGAACTAATCATCAAAACATTGATCAATATGAGACTTTTCTCAACCCAGATGCTTTGACCCGAAGCAGAAGAAGTGGAGGAAGACACCTCATTGCAGAAGGGTTGGAATGATCAAAAACCGTTTATTGTGACTGCCGAGACTTCCTAAAGCAACGTCGAGAGAATCCCCTCCACATATGCTAGAAGATCAATGACCCAAGGGTTTCTAAAAGACTCGGTCCCCTCCGACGACCGATGCCAGCTGCCAATCTAGGGAAGGAACTACAGGTCCTAGAGGAACATGAAGGTACATGGGACTCTGAGGTATTTCGACAGACTCGCCCTAGAAGTCAGTACGGCGAGTCCAAGAAAAAACCACATGCCCTTGCTCAAACTTTCCTACTTCCAATAGGCGATGGAGACTTACGAAAGAAAATTTCAGTGGTACATGACTCCACTCAGGACCTCTTTGTCCTACAGCTCATTGAGAAAGTAAACAAGTTGAAGGTCGAACGTCAGGCTAAGATACCTGACTGGAACCAACCCAGGCCTGGCCCTTTCATAAGAAGGATCATCGACATCGCCCTTCAAGTGAAGACAAAACAAAAGCTTGGTTACAACACTATACTGGAAGGGATGATCCAATTGAACACTTTAACCTCTTTAAGTCCACCATGGCTTATCAGATGCACACTGACGAAGAGCGATGTCTTTTTTTCCCCTCCACCCTCTCTGGCGGAGCTTTAAACTGATATTGCTGTCTTTCACCTGAGACAATAGACTCATTTGAGGAACTGAGGAAACTGTTCGTCTCTCAACACATCTTCTAGACCGATCGCTTGCATTCTGCAGATGACTTGTACACTATTCGCTAGAAGCTGGACGAGTCACTATGAGAGTATGCTGGTCGCTTTAGCCATGAGTATTCTCGCTGCGCTGAGGTAGATGACAAGACCGCCCTCAAGGCCTTCACGGCAGTCCTACGTGATTTTTTCTTCAAGTACATGATCAATGCCAACACTTGAAAGACTTTCTCTAAGGTGATGACACATGCTTACAACCATTTCTCCACCGAAGCAAAGACATACCAAGGGAACCCTAACCCCTATCAACAAGTGGGAAGTGGAAATCAAGTTCTACCAAGTGAGGAGATATTAGCACTTCAGACACCCATTGCATTATCTCCTACCTCATTTAGCTACACGCTAAGTCACCAAACGTATCTGTCTTTTGGTAAGAGGAAAGATTTTTACTCTCAGCAAGCCCATTACAACAAGAGGGATAAAAGTTCGTATCAAGACAACCATGGGTGAACGTACCGTCGACTATTATGACTATGTGGCCAAGCCTCACTCTTTCAAAGTGGAGGACTAAGTACTGAAGGAAATGCTATTATAAGAAGGCATACACATTACAAACGTTTTGACTCTCAACCGCTTGAGATTTTTTGTCACACAAGCCATTCAGTAAATATTTAAAGAATAGGGAATTCAGACAACTTCTTGTGAGTTTTTTGCGTTCCTAGCATTGGAACATTGGGTTTACACTGACCTACCCTTATACTTCAACTCAGAGCTTCAACATGCGCACTTTGACACAAAGTATGTGATACTAAGTGTTACAACCAACAAGGTTCACATATCAAAAGCATGGATCCCTTCATGCATAACAAAACATTCATAAGTATCACTCATATCAATCAACATAAACATCATACATTCCAACACATTCATACATAAACATCATACATTCCAACACATCCATACATAAGCCAACTGTGCTTCGAAAGGGTTCAACATACTTTGTATCTTCGACACTTGCTACAATGTGCCTCGACACCTTGCCATTATTCTCACCAACCTGGTGATGAAATGTGAAGAAGGAACTCATCTTCATGCCACAAACCAGGTGATGAAATGTACAACCCATACTCTAATATCATTCGGCAACTTGCCACTCATGCCACCAACCAGGTGAAGAATGAACTCATCTTCATGCCACCAACTAGGTGATGAAATGTACAACCCGTACTCTAATATCATTTGGCAACTTGCCACTCATGCCACAAACTAGGTGAAGAATGAACTCATCTTCGTGCTATCAACCAGGTGATGAAATGTACAACCTGTACTCTCCTTCATGCCACCAACCGGGTGATGAAATGTACAACCCGTACTCTAATATCATTTGGCAACTTGCCACTCATGCCACCAATCAGGTGAAGAAGGAACTTATCTTCATGCCACCAACTAGGTGATGAAATGTACAACCCGTACTCTTCTTCATGCCACCAACCAGGTGATGAAATGTACAACCCGTACTCTAATATCATTTGGCAACTTGCCACTCATGCCACTGACTAGGTGAAGAAGGAACTCATCTTCATGCCACAAACCAGGTGATGAAATGTACAATCCGTACTCTCCTTCATGCCACCAACCAGATGATGAAATGTACAACTCTAATATCATTTGGCAACTTACCACTCATGCCACAAACTAGGTGAAGAAGGAACTCATCTTCGTGCCACCAACCAGGTGATGAAATGTGATGAATGAACTCACCTTCGTACCATCAACCAAGTGATGAAAGCAACTCACCATTTATTCTACCAACCAGAAAACGAGTGGTACAACTTGTACATGTGAACTCCTAGCATTCACAAATAATAAAAAACCCTCAAGTTTTACAACTTAACTAGGGGAACACTTATGCCCAACAAGAGTTATAGTCACCAACAAAGTCTTATTGCAAGCCAACAATAACTTCAGTGCATGGCATACGAAGATCAAGCTATTCAGCCCTCTTACGTTTGCTTCAAACATTTCTCCTTTGTAACAATGCAAACACTACAACTCGTAGAAAGCTTCACACACTTTTGATCAAGACAGTGTGAAGCAAAACCAATTTATGATGCCAACAAGAGCTTCATCAATGGAGGGCAACCACAATTCTCAAATTCACACACTCTTGATCAAGACAGTGTGAAGCAAAACCAATTTATGGTGCCAATAAGAGCTTCATCAAAGGAGTTCAACCACAACTCTCAAACCTTCGAAGCAAATTCAAGATTGTTCGAAGCAAATTCAATTTATATGGTTCATCCAAACCTTCGATTACTACAAGGTGCGACTTGCATCACAATCTCTTGCCCAACAGTATGGAAGCAAAATTTGTATATGTTGTCTCTCCCACATTTTCAAATTTCTAGTTTCCTAAAAAAAAAAAAAAAAAAGGAAATTCAACAAAGTTTCATCAATGGAGGACAAATACAAATTCTCAAAAGCTTCACACTATCTTGATCAAGATAGTGTGAAGCAAAATCAATT